TTACCGACTTACCAGTTGACAATCTTTATAGTTCACATCCATTCCATTTGCTTTCGCAGATACCCAGTACTTCTAGGCCATATCTTCGCATTTCTTTGCTACTTGTGCAGCCTTCCCAGCCTTCGTACATTATACGGACATTCCACGACCCCATTCTTATTCTTCCTTTCATCGAGAGAAGACACATCGTTTGACTAGCTTCCCAAAGGCTGTCACCAGCCCGCGTCATTTTGTCTCTCCAACTCGGGCGAAGAATAAGTTTTTTATTTTTAATATATTTTCTGTGTGTTGAGGTTTCTCTAGCAGTTTGATAGCTTTTTTGGTGTAGGACAGCCAGCACCATGACCCCCCCTCTTTACAGGAGCTTGGGCTTGGCTAGAAAACTAGCGAGATAGTTAATTAGGCGAGGTTCCAAATGCTAAATTTATGCTCTTTAAACTCTTCCGCATATTGGTTTTAATTACACGATCTGTTTTTCTTTTCCAACTTTTGCATTTTTTGTTGGTATGCATATTTCGTTATCCGCAAGCCCTTTGTGTTCAGCCGATATGGTGTTTGTATTCGGACGCCAGATAACCTCGAAATTAAGGTTTTGTTTTGTAATTGCCAGATGCATTTTTCAAGTGTAACAAATGTCTTGTAGTATCTTCAGTAATCTTTACTTTAATATAAATCTATTTCGAACAATATGATTTAGTTTTGGATTTCAGGTTGAAGCCTGTTAGTGCATATCTTCGTTAAAAGTTATCCATGGATTGACTACAAGAAATATTATCATGTGCATTCACATAAGGATATGAAAAATCTAACAGAATAGCTCATTATGTATAATTCCTTATACAATATGTTTAAATAAAACTACAAACAAAGGGATAATTACACTTATTTTCAAATGAAAATTGCACTCCTCAAATATTACGTATTTTGTAATGCTCATGCTACATATAGATCAAATTTCTTTATTTTAGATTTCGTCACAAACCAAAATCGGTTAGTGGTTCAGCAAAAACTAGGGAGTACTTGACAGCTGTTTCGCACTGAGCCGACTAATGATCAAACACAGGGCTCTTAGATTACAAAGACAGCCCTTTGATCACTTGACCACAGTCAATACGGTAAGCCTATCAGTCAGTGCCATTGATAAGCAATCGCATTACTCCCGCCCCCAACACGGCGAAGTCAACTGGTCAAGAATTTCTATTAAAACCTCCAAAAGTCCATATCTGAAGTTTTGTAGCGATTTTGATCCCTTTCGGAGGGTCATAGTTCCACTCTACTGAAGACCTTCAAACTTGGACCTATTAAAAAGCCCAGCTAAATATGACAAGCTTTTAGGATATTTTTGGCTGGGAAAAAACTGTCACTGTCCCGACAAAATTTGATTACGTTCTATGCCTGATATTTTGCAACAAAATAAGTCCCCTCTCAATCCTAGCGGGTTTTAAGTTTTTAGGTAGTAACCAAAAGACAGTGCTGTGCGCACCACCACTTCCACTGAGTAGCAACCCAGTTTATACCTCTACTTCACAACAAATAACATATCGGGACTATAGCAAGGCAGACTGGGCTTTGGTAGAATCAATGCTAAGATCATGGGGAGAATACTTCATCACTGATGACCTTCCGGGAGCTCTGAGTATCTGCTACCGGAACTCAAACACATACTTAGATGCTGTCGTTCCACTCCAAACACTGAAAGTTTCCCTACATAGAAAGCCATTTATAAAACCAGAGGATCGTACGAAACTGAAGAGAATCTCTACAAGTTACTTCAAACACTTACATCAGTGATGTGATTATGCGCAACAATTTGTGCTCAAAACGTCATCACTTAATACCATTGCACAACACTGTGTGATTTATCAAAATAAAATCTCATCCATTATGAAGTTATACTCTACCACAGTGCCCAAGTTTTATACGCACTTCGAACACCACGACTTCGGCTCACAAGGGTCAATAATTAACACTCTTAGCCCCATCTCACAAGCTCGAGATTTGCGTATGAGGAACGAAGAACGCACTAGTAAGCCTTGTTAGAGTGTGTGCTCTCACAGAAATTCTAAAGAATTGACTGAATCTTAGAAACCAAAATATTTCTGTCCTCATAGACAAAGGTAGGCTATACAGTGGTTCTGCAGACATGTGTGAATTATTTGACAAAAACTTAGCAGCTAACTACCTTAAGCCTGCAGTTCCATTACTCGGTATACACCCTACTAATATGACGCAACTCTCAACTTTACCCACACCAAAAATCAATTAGTACCGCTGATTTCACTTATGCTTACGTTAACCAAGCCATTAGAACTCTCTAAAGCTCCAAAGGTTTTGACACTGACAGTATATGATCGTATTTCTATAAATATGGTGGTCCTGACATTTTCATATTACTACTTAATATCTTCACAATGACCTTAGAAACTCAAACCTATCGGATTTATGAGAAAAGGACATTTATTACACCTAAACACAAATGTGGCTCGAAAACAGAAGTCAGCAACTACAGGCCGATCAGTATCACACCTATAGCATCTAGAATTATGGAGAGACTAGTTGAAGATAACATACTCAAGCATATACTTAGCTGGGATATTGTAAGTCCGAACCAAGATGGATCCTTAAAGTCCAGATCACATTTATCATGCCACCTTGACTTCTTTAATGTTGTGACTAATAGTCGTGACAGACAACAACTAGTACTTGTCATCTACCTTGACATTTCTAAGGCATTTGACCATGTCGACCATTTACTGCTAATACATAAGCTGAACTCCTTTGGAATACGCGACCCACTATTAGGATGGATTAAATCATTCCTTCACAACAGATCCCGAATAGTTAAACTCGGGTCTGTAACTTCCAAACCTAGCCCAATCACTTCTGGTGTAGTAGAAGGTAGTGTCATTAGGCCCCTGCTATTTATACTATATATCAACGACATGTGCGCGTGCTTCTGACATGGTAAGCCATTAACCTCTACAGATGACTTAAAACTAGCTTACACATTCCACTGTAATGACTTAGTTTACCTTCAGAATGTTGTACAGAATGAAATAGATAAAGTTACTGTTCGGTCATGTTTAAGGAACCTACGATTCAATGTGAACAAATGTGGTTGGATCCGCTTCGGCGCACCCTCAGTCGACATAAAGCTAACGTTCCAATCTGCTAACCTACCCAGACTCCAAAGTGTCGTTGACCTAAACCTAGTGACCTAACATTTTTGAGCAAGTGTCATCGCCGACTTGAAAGTCAAGGACGCTGTTAGGATGCATACTCAGAAACTTTCATGGTAATGAAATCAAACTCATAATATACAAAATGAGCATAAGGCCTCTATTAGAATACTGTCCATTTATTATTAGCAACACTCGCATATGTGACAAGCTGAGAATGGAAATTATGCAACGACATTTCACTTATACATTATTTGGGTAGGATTGTAGGAAAGACTGCATTTCACCACGTATATTTCTAAATCTAGACCCACTTTAGACGAGAAGACTTGTTACAAAACTTATATTCTTCTTTAAGGTCCTATAAAAAGTATCATTCTCAAATAGTGAAGACATAAAACTATCACCGAAAGGATCTTACAATCTGCATAGTCAAACATTTACAGTGATAATGGAAGTCTTTAAATTATCACTCCATGAAAATTTCTCCCCAGTCATGTACTCTAAATTATGGGGAATTTTACTCCTAGAAATGCGCCTAACCTAAATTGTCTCACAAGCAACACAGAAACGGTTAGCCATCACTAATGAGAAAACGTGCCCGGATAGTCACCTATTAGACAAAAAGTATAAAAACTCTTGCATATACTTTTTGGTGGATACAGGAGCATAGTACCAAATGCAAACACCGAGCGGGGCTGACACAAGTCTTCCGTCACCGTACAGGCATCCAATAAATACCAGGTCGCGACGTTCTGGAAGAAAACACTGACTTTTGACCTCGGGTTTAAGCGACAGCTTCCATGGATGTTCACTGTTTCTGATTTAGACTAAGCAATCATCAGTATAGACATTTCGAAAAGACACGACTTACTCGTGGATACTGTTTAACAATAAAAGAAACCTCCTTGTGTACGAATGCAAAGTGAGCAAGTACCATTCGTTGAATAAAGTACAATCTCCGCCAGTATCAGCCGGTAGGTTTCGGAAAATACTGGCGGAATTACCAGCGCTGACAACAATCAACGCTCAGACGTCTAAGGCTGGCCCGGAAATCCCTCATACTCCAAGGATGCGTGGCCCTGATTGTTTGCTAAATCAAAAAGACCGGCCTCAGACAAGCTAAAATCTGCGTGTGATTACACGCTTCAGTTGGGAAGTAATTCAACCATGGAACAGTCAATGGGCTTCGTCGTTACACATAGAACATAAAAAAATCAGATTAATTGGTGTCCTTATTGTGATTACAGAGTGTCTTAGGAGACGTCATTCTAACTATTGCAGACTACTGAGCAGGTCTGGAGAAGTCATGTCCAAGCACTTACTGACAGGACATCATATAATTGTTTGGAATATGTGCTGATGTAGAAACAGTACAGTAGTATATATCCCAACATTTGGTTATACGCTTTAACAAAGTCTATTTTTGAGAATATAGTTGCGCCAGATAATGTTGCCGTCAAGTCATGTATGTGAGGCAATGGATAGCAATCAGGGATTGTTTCGGAGTTCACTCGTCGGTAATCACTAGTGGGTAGCCAATCTTTGCTATCTTTCTTCGGTAACATATGCAGTGAGGAGGCCCATGGGCTATTCGATGGTCGAACAATGCCAAGGGTGAGCATATGGTCAAAATCATTTCTAGAGAGTCTCAGTTTGTCAGGAGCAAGTTATCGTGCTTTAGATGTCACGGTTTGTCCTGAGGTTGTGATGTGACGCATAACATTTCTGGTTATGTACGATAGGTTGTAAAACGGGTAATTAAGTCCCGGCAACTTGTAAGTGATTGGCTGGAAAGTTGGATCAACGATCGCCTTCTTCTTAAATAGTGACAGGTTGGGATGGTTGACTATCTAACTGAGCCGTTGTTTCCTGAGTTGCACGTGGACTACGTTCTGTTTGCAGTAATGTGAGCTGGGACTTAGCAAAGGGACTAGGTAGTGCTATATTTGAGTCTGTAACCGCTATAGACTGAGGCGAAATTTGTGGACTGGATGCTTGTGCCCCACTGGACTGTCCAATCAAAGAAGACCCATTAGTTGTAATACGTGCACTGACATAGAACGGTTGGTGTGGCGACTGTTTGCTGATATACTGACCGCCGTGAATAATACCTGACGGATGTGATGGTGGTGGCGGTCTGATTGCGGTGCAATAACACGGAAAAGCAGGCGCAAACAATTCAAGACGTTCATAATAGCTCATCGAATATGTGTTGGTCGGTGAGTTTTGGAAACTCCTACTGTACATATAGTCCACGGCAGACAAACAAAGAGAGTAAGCACCCAGTTATATGCCGAAAACTCAGAATAGTTTCTGAAAGCAAAAGGAGGGAACGAATGATTTGAGTGATTTTCATCATCTGGTCATAATGACGTATAATGTAACATTTACGAAAATAATATGTATACCTCACGATTGTGATATGAGGCTTTTCCTTTCTTTTACTTATAAGATACATGCCATGTGAACGCAGAAAACCATTTTGTCGAACCTATGAGTGAACTAAACATGCGTGATCATACACTGGGTTTTTACTTTGAATATGTGTGCCTTAATCTGCATGCCCTGTTGTAACGGTACACTTTTACCTCGGTTCTTGGGTTTGTGTTCTCCTTTGTATGTTTCAGTGTTTTGTATCGGCCTGTCAGTCAGGCATTTTCTTTTCAGTTACACAGGCGATGCAGCTACAATCGCTATTATATAATAACAATCTGCTTTATTCCAAAAGCAGTACTTATTATACAGCATGGAATTCTCAGCATTTGACGCAATATTGCATCTAATTTACCCAAAATAGAAATAAAAACAACCACAGGAATTTTTCCACATCTACATTAATAATAAAATCAAAAGTGTGCAAAGTAAAAAAGTGAGAACAATAACTATAATGATAATAATAACATCGGGTTTGCTTCAAACACTATCGCCGATACAGTATGGAAATTTTCTCATGTTGTAGAGCATTGAATCTAATGTTCTGTTGATATAGCATGATGAGGGGAAAAACAAAAAATAACAGTTATTACAGAGGTTAAGTTATGTTTGCACTTATGGGAAAATAAGCAAAAAATGAGGGGACTGCAAATGAGAATAATAACACCAAAGCCTGGTGTTATAAGGGTGGAGAAAATTGTTTATTTACTAGTAGTAAGAAGGTTACTTAGTTCGTGCCTGATACTATTTTCACCACATAAAATACACGCGAAACATGGTATCGTGAAAATTTTATACCTTGAAATGACTTCTTGTTTTACCTGGGGAGACACAAGGTGAAATCTGCGGGTAGAGCGGATGATCGCAGTCTGACAAAATCCATTTAGCGAATTTGTTGCCTATCAATGACAATGTCAACGATATGATCCAAGGGCATACCATTCACCCTACTGAAAGTCTTCAGAGTTCTACAAATTACAACATAGTCTTTATAAAGCAACTCAGGACAGAATAAGAGTGAACAATAAACAAGAATAAGTAAGATTCAAGCGTAGACAAGCTGTAAGAGGAGGGGTTGGGTTTCTCCCGGGTGCCTTAACTTCTCAATACAAAACGTTGGTCGGAAAATTTATTTTAGAAATCGCTAAGACGTGGGAAGACTAGGATGAATCAGAAGAAGGAATTAGTCCAAGATACTTCACGTCAGACTTGATTTGTATATCAGTATCATCAATTTTTCAACAGTCAGAACAATTAACAGCTTCATTTAACTTTCTTCTACACCGGAAACTGATTTCAACAGTCTGACATTTAGAAGGATTTAGTTTAAGACAACTTGGTGACTCCTGATTGAAAGCTGTTCATCTTAGTGCAGTCTAGCTGAGACTTCACAGGCATTGGAACAGTTATATCGTCCGCATACCTAAAAAGCTTCATTTCATCAGAGTGAGGCAAATCATGCAAGAAGAAAGAAAACAGAAAAGGAGAATGAACAGAGCTTTGATGGACTCCAACCAGATTAAGCAATGAAGTGGACGAATCCCCCTGATACACAGTGTACTGATTACTTCCTGAAAAATAAGAGTGCAGCCAGTTAATAACCAAACACTCAGTTTGAGTTTCAGTAAGCTTATTTAACAAAATACCCCTGGGTACTGAGTGAAAAGCAGATGTGTAGTCCAGGAAGGCGCAGCGAACAAATTCAGCCCCTTTGTCTAAACTAGAGACGATGTTATGATACAAGACTGCAGCTGTATCTAAAGTACTTCTTCTACGTTAAGCTCTTCTAGTGGAGGTTCAAGATTAAGTAAAAACAACTTTTCCACAGTTGTCAAAAAGGGAGGAGTTATAGAAATAGGTCTAAATTTGACACATGTTCCACTACATGACTTAGGTATCGGTACAATTTTAATGTCTTTCCAAATGGCTGGCACAACATTTCTGAGAAAAAGATTGATTAAATATGTCAGTGAGAGGATGAAATGGGATATTTGCACATTTTTTAAGAATAAGGCTAGGAACACTATATGGACCTAAGTTACTAGAAGGGTTCAGCGACTGTAGACATTTTAGAACATCATTTGTGTTGAAACCAGGAAAGCATGACATTTGCTGAAGAATATATAAACGGCTTGTTTAGGGTACACACATCAAATGAACAAGGAATACAGTTTATCTGCTTACCACCAGTAATTTCTTTGATAAGTTTCCATGTACTAAAGGCATTTTTACAGGATATGACCTTCTGGTTTCACAATGAGTTCAACCTCTGCCTTTCAGATTTGATTAGAATATTAATTTCTTTCCCAACATTGCTATCCTTCATTTTATATGAATTTCTCTTCCCCCTGAGAGGCTTTTTAAGTTGATGGGTGGAGAAACAGTCAAATCTGATAAAAAGCATAGATCTGGGACAACAGGTGTCAAGACACAATTTGAGACAAGTAATATTTGAGATAGTACAACCAAAAGACTCTTCATTAAGCAAATATCATCTTTGTGTCTGAAAATTCTTCTCAGAGTAACATCTATACAGAATCTTCTTGGGCAAGTATGAGAAGGCCCTTTGCGCAATTTTCAATAAATTCTGTTGAAGACACGTACCATTTGCACATATCGATCTGTGCTTGCCACAGTCTGAATGCATCGTTTTAAATTCGGTCTGAATTCATTCTATTTAATTGACTCTGTGTAATCAAATGACTGACTGGTAGTCTGAAACCAGTTTCGGCATAGAGCTGCAAGCTCTATTGGGAGGTTTTGATGAATTTCTAACTAATTCGAATGTCTTTTATCCCGTAGAAGTTCCAATGCGCTAGGACTAGTCTCCGAATGTTAAACTGGCATTTCTCTCTCGTCTCGTCTACTTAGACGTTCAGTACACTAGCTTAACTATCTACTAATTGGGTTGCGTGTCCAAGTCATGGAGTGAAAATTACCTAAATATCCTCTTAAGTTTAGAAACAACGCAATTTCTCTGTATTCCATTTTCAGTAGCAGAAGTATTTTTCGTCAGTGCAGTATAATACTGCTCTGAGGTAGTGGGGTTCAGCGAGTGTCTGGTATCATGGAACGTGGACACTTTTTGCAGTCTGCCGTTGTATGTGACCAGCTTACTCTTTCCAACAGACAATATTATTGTTTCTTAGCCTTCCAGATTCTACTTATCTGCTCTGTTATGTTCGACTTCCAATCCAGCTTCTGTCTCGTGGAATGACCAATGGGCCGCTTCTAACCGACTGCTCTTGATAATCATATATCGGATGGCATTTCGGCTAATCAACATCGAATTGAGACCTGGTGCTATCATAGAGGTAAATAATTTCCCAAAATTATTGGTCACAGCACTCATCACTGAACATTGCATGCTGACCCTCACTGTTTAAGTCAACTTGTTTGGCTGAAGGCTTCCAGTCAAGCATCCACACCATTTGGTACTCCATCGTGTCACGTTCGTTCGTTCGTGCACTATCCCCAGCTAACTAAGCAATCATCTCGCACTCTGATTTGGTCCCAAAATATATCTCGTAATTTGGACGATCAATTAGTGTACCTTTGGTCTACGCAGAACAAATACTATAGAATTTCAGACAATGATTCCCTTTTATAAATTTTAACAAAGAAAGAAGTTGTGGGTATTGGATCTTGCGATAGTATATTTCTCACCATCCGTGAACGTCAATACTGTCAACCTCTAAACTACCATATAAACAAGCGCAAAACATTTGTGATACACGCACTTACACGACAACCCTTTCTTAAGCTCGATGAAACGTGTGTAGATTCCCAACTTGATGCTCATCGAGTTTCCTTACCGCTTTCCAGGGGGCATGCCAACAACCTTTCCGAAAAAGTGTCGAAACTGTAAAGAGGAATGCGAGCACCATAAAAGGCATTGAAGGTCTTACCTATTGTATTAATTGCTGACTTAGTATTATGTTGGCCTTCATAATAGCAATTGTTGCCAATTTTCAGTTGCGATATGATACTCCATCATTTAACTGGATATGCATACCGCTACAAACTTTATGATTTCTTTTCATGGTCCTTGGTAGACTTCTGCATAGTTTATCCCGCCACTCGACTGAAGTTAATCCTTTGTCCTGCTAGTTCTGTATGGTTGAAAAGGGAGATGATAATAATGTAGTCAGTAGGAGTTATATAGACTTGAAAAGAGAAGCGACCAAACAAATAGATAGTTAAATTTGGTGACTGGAACGTAATTGAATAAAAAACAGAGTAACCGGGAGATTGATGTAAGGGAGACTGTCAGGAGGCAAAGGATGAGTTTAGATGACACTGATTGATAGAATTCTGTGAGTTTCTAGGTAACTGTCCATTTGAATACAGTCCTTGTGCTTCTGCATGATTGTGCAGCCCCCGTTTGTAGCTTTCCTCCAATCCAGAGTCTGGCAAATTGGTTAGAATGGAATGACAGTCCCTTTTCACAAGGTAGCTGACTCGAAATACCTAGTAGTACACCTCAATGGATGACTGACTCCATTTCATATCAGAAACTAGTCCGATCTGTATCTTACACTGTGAAGTAGTCAACACAGCAACTCCCCTTATACTTTATGGGATAAGGAATCGATGCTGGATATACTTAAGCCATTTTTATTCCAGTGGTGAAAAATGCGTCGACATTTTCACATTGTCGCCCATAAACATAAACGCATATGAAGTGAGCTAAAATATTTTCCTTGTCCCCAGTTTCCGTAGCTAAAACTGTTGCTACGTCAATGATCGCCACTCAAAACGGGATGTGA